GTTTGACGAGTTTGACGTGTTTGACGTGTTTGACGAGTTTGACGAGTTTGATAATGAGTGTTAAATTTGTTTTTGCAGGTACCTTTTGTGTATGATTTTAAGGACATTCATATGACTCCTAAGATCACGACGAAATGTTATCCATATCAGACTGTTAGATCTCTTAAAAAGGCCTTGACGGATGAAGAATTTACATATTTCAAAAAAGAATCCCAGTTTCGGCATATTTTCCATCTTGGATGTAAGGACACATTGAAGATGGTTCCGGCATCAGTCCTCTTACATCGGGCACTAAAATTGGAAGGAGAAGTGAAACAGCTATGGTTTGTTCTGGTTGACGGGTTTGACTCTTTTGGTTGACGAGTTTGACTGATATTCATATAATTGCTCATATGTAGGACATCATCAATCTGTGCAAAAATCCGATAATGATCAAGAGGATATAGAAACTGCACAGAACGAGCAAGGTATGATTTTACACTTTACACTTTATTTGGACAGCCCGAGTTAGATTGGTTTGACTCTTTTGGTTGATGAGTTTGACCGGTTTGACTCTTTTGGTTAACGAACGATGACTGATATTCATATTGGTCATATGCAGGAACTGATGATGAAGAAGATGATAGTGATGCGATTCCCCCTACTCCTAGAGCAGTATCTAATACTATTTTGGGTTCGACTGATGATGATGATGGAGGGATACTTGCTCAGGAAAAGGAGGATGTAGAGGTCCCTGCTGCTCCCAAGCATCTGATATATTTGCGAATGGCAAGGAAGTGTCTGTGTCTACCGATGAAGGCTGAGATTCTTCTCCGTACTATTTCATTTGTTAAGAACCTCTTTAATTTATTAGTATTTTATTTCTTAAGAACCTCTTTCGGATTAAGTTGTATCTGATCAGGTTTAAAACCTCTTTCGTATTAAGAACCTCTTTCGTGATAAGAACCTCGTCAAACACGTCAAACACGTCAAACTCGTGAAACTCGTCAAACACGTCAAACTCAGGAACCCCAAATGTTCTATTACACTTTATGTTACACATTGGTCTAGGGTAGAATTTATCATTTTTCCAGATGCTCTCCTTATAACAAAAACACGCTCAATACGTCATAATAGACCCTGTACACAACTTTGAACCATCGGAATTTAATTTTGACCACAGGTTGACCGCGTTGACTCGTCAAACTCGTCAAACTCGTCAAACTCGTCAAACTCGTCAAACTCGTCAAACTCGTCAAACTCGTCAAACTCGTCAAACTCGTCAAACACGTCAAACTCGTCAAACTCTCTGATTTGGCGAATTTGTCAATTCTGAACCATGAGCATATCAATAAACACCCCGTATAACAAATTTGATAGGCAAAAAACAATCGGAGCTAACTTAATTGAACACCTTATTTTGTTTAGCAATGCATGTTCCCCCAAACAAACCCCAAATGTTCTATTACACTTTATGTTACACATTGGTCTAGGGTAGAATTTATCATTTTTCCAGATGCTCTCCTTATAACAAAAACACGCTCAATACGTCATAATAGACCCTGTACACAACTTTGAACCATCGGAATTTAATTTTGACCACAGGTTGACCGCGTTGACTCGTCAAACTCGTCAAACTCGTCAAACTCGTCAAACTCGTCAAACTCGTCAAACACGTCAAACTCGTCAAACTCTCTGATTTGGCGAATTTGTCAATTCTGAACCATGAGCATATCAATAAACACCCCGTATAACAAATTTGATAGGCAAAAAACAATCGGAGCTAACTTAATTGAACACCTTATTTTGTTTAGCAATGCATGTTCCCCCAAACAAACCCTAAATGTTCTATTACACTTTATGTTACACATTGGTCTAGGGTAGAATTTATCATTTTTCCAGATGCTCTCCTTATAACAAAAACACGCTCAATACGTCATAATAGACCATGTACACAACTTTGAACAATCGGAATGTCATTTTGACTACAGGTTGACCGCGTTGACTCGTCAAACTCGTCAAACTCGTCAAACTCGTCAAACACGTCAAACTCAGAAACCCCTAACATGAAACCCCGGATGCGTGTTACGACTTTGACCAGTGTTATGAGTTGATTAGTGTTTACGATGAGTTTGACGAGTTTGATCAGTTTGACGACTGTTTTTACCATATAATACACGAGTGAATTAGTCCAAATATGATTCGATAATGTCATTACATGCACGAACATAATATTATGACTCATACGTCTGTGATATCATTGATGTACTGACTGAACCTACCGAACATGATTTTTTTTTTTTTGAGTCTTACCAAGTCCAGAAAATCGGTTTTGTTTAAACCTTCCACTTACTCGTTTTTCTTCCACTATAAGCGGCAATACCACTACATCTACGTGTATTGGATGAGTTTTTGGAGATTTCACTTGTTTCTTGCAGCAAATTTACCAAAAAATCGCGCTGGAGAAGAGATATTCAAGAGAGAGAAGAAGAAAAACTCGAAGAGAGAGAATGCGATGTATGGCGGGAGACAACGATAAAGAGGAGAGAGAAAATGAGTAAAAAGTAGATCTATATTTTATTTATTTTAGTATATTATTATAATATTATATAAATAAAGGAAGGGTATTATAGGGATTCTACATTTATAAGAGTATATTTGATGTTGCCGTTTTTTTGTTACTGTGCGAGGGTATGGGCTGTAAGTGAAATCGACATTTAAGGGTATTTTTGCAATTGCCCCAGGTGAAGAAGAAGAAGAAGTCGCGTGTGGTGGGAACAAAAATATTGACCGAAATGTGAGTTTTTTTAAAAAATAAAATGAAATTATTTGTGTTGTTGAAATATGTAAAGAGAGATGAAGAGAAATAGATACGAGATTTTGCTGAAATGTGATTGGCTGATGGAGAACACGTTCTATCCACACTCGATTCTGCCTCCTCTCTCTCTCTCTCTCCTGTCTTTTTTATATTAATTATTTTTTCACCCGATCTTTACTAAAATGATAAATAGTTGCTAATTTTCAAATAATTCCATG